TTATTCTGCACTAGTTAGTGTTCTTTCCAGCAGCAAAGTCTTTTGATTGGTGATCATTTGGCTATAGGAATTAATTCCAATAAAGAGAGTCCCAAACAGTTCTGAAGACAGACCTTTATCTCTCAGTAGTATGACTGTCTACCCCCTACGACAACTGTCCTCACCTGAGGTGAACAGGCCTTTGGGGATTCCCAGTCAGGCCTCAGCTTGTCCATTAACCTCCAAATCTGTGTGCCCAGTGCAATTTTCTGCAGAGAAGTCTTAGCGGTGCTGCACACAAATGCCTGCAGGGTCAGGTAGGAATACAGAAGAATGAAATAGATCACAAGTGAGAACCCAGCCGCATTTTGTTTGCCTTTTAAACATAGTGGAATATTTTTTGCTTCCACAGAGAAATATGCTCTCTGCCGTTTATCTTGAAACATTCAGTATTTTCGGTCTACCTTTTATCTCCTCACTTCTGGTAGAGACTTGGATCCACAGAAACATTTCTTCACCATAAGAAAAGCAACAGTGCAAGGGTGATGACAAAAGGCAAGTAATGTCCAGTGTTGGGGAGACCACAGGGCATAGTGAGGACTGTGGTGAAGGGCAGGCACATGCCTTATAAAGGGGGCAGCCATCACTGTGCTTCAGCTGATCAGTGTCTTGAGGGAATGAGACCTAATGTTGACAGATCTTATGGTTTATCAAGAGAAAGACGAAATCTGCATTTCTTTGCCAGGGGGGAGTAAAATCTACAGATTTTTAATTTGGTTCACATTTTTTCAGAATCCTGGTACCCCCAACAATACCATTGTAGGGATCAACATGGACAAGTGGTTTATGAACTCTGGCCTCTAGATTTCATAAGAATTTCTGAGAGATCTCTGACTTACATAGCATTGACAACCACTGCCCTAGAATATGACTCCTTTCCACTTCTGTGGGTGGAAAGACTGAAGGCATGGCTATGTACCAGAAGTCTAGGGGAAAGCTATTTGCTTGGCTTCTCCCCACCCCCATCCTAGACCCAAAGCATTGAAGCCGGTGGCATCCGTTCCTCTTCCTTTGACCTTAGTGAGGGTCCTCCATGATGATGGCAGAGCAAGCAGGACACTATAAGTGGGAAATTAGTACTGAGAAGCACCAGATGAAAAGGAGGAGATGCCCTTTAAAGTAGGAGGTAGCTCTCTTGTTCCTCTTCTCAATTCTCCATTCTGGTCCCTCCCATTAGGATGCCTTTGACTATAAGTTGCAGAAACCCAAATCAAACCAGCTCAGGCAAAGCTGTATCTGAGAGGTCCAAGGATAGTACAGCATCAGGCATGTTGGATTCAAGTGCTCAGGACTCTCTCCCTCTCACTCAAACTTCAGTTTTGCTTTTGTTCTTCGACAGGCTATCTTCAAGTAATAGAAAAGCTAGCTTACACGGTCATTATTGCTCATCATCTCAGAAGGGAGAGATTGTTTCTCTTGCAGCATTTACAACAAATCATTAAAAAACAAAAAACTCTGGTTGGCCCTGCTTAGGTCATGCTCCTGGACAAGCTTCTATGTGCAGTGCATGGGACACTCTGATTGGTTAACCTGGGTCACATGTTCTCTAGAAGAGTGAATCTCAGAATCACAAGGAGTGGTGTGTGTGGGTGGGAGGGGATAGAAAATTCTAAAAGGAAGTAATGAAGCATATTTAAAAGACTAACTCCTGTCCTCAGGTGCTTCAGGCACCATGGCCAAGGATCATCTTCTAGCTCTCCTGCCCCCAAACAAAGACCAAAAACTCTCTCGGCAACTCCACAGCAGCTCCGTGTGGAGCACTTGTCATTTCTAGTAATTATAACATCTGCATTGCAAAAGCAAAAACCTCCAGTTCTGATTTGGCACGCTGAGGGACTTTTCAAGCAAGTAAAGGAAGGCCTTCTCAAACACCTACACTGACAATTCCTTCATGCAAGCAACAGAAGAAACTCTCCAGCTTTTACCCTTCCTCCCCTCCTCAAGTAGAAAGACAGCTCATCACTGCAGCCATGAACCTGCTCCACTATACACAGCAGATAAGTTCCTGAAAATACAGGAACAAATGGAATCACCTTTGACACCTTATAATTTCAAAGCTGAAGGGGAGATTCCAAGGAATCAACTAAAAGAAGTTCTCAGGCAGCCAGAGGAGGTGGGGGCAAGTGACCATTGGGCTTCTTACAGGCAAGTTTAAGATAATTTTTGGTGTCCCTGGGTGATGCATTGGGTAGACATAGTAAACCGAAGACACCTATTAGACATTGGAAGGGTGATGCTGAGTGGCAAGTCTGGAGGTCAAGAGAGAGATCCATCTGGCTTGGCTGCAGTTATAAGCTCTATCTACCAAAACCCAAAACACATTGCCGTTCAGTCGATTCTGACTCATAGCAACCCTACAGGATGGAGTAGAACTGCCCCACGGGGTTTCCAAGGAGCGGCTGGTGGATTTGAACTGCCAACCTTTTGGTTAGCGGCCAAGCTCTTAACCATTGCGCCACCAGGGCTCCAAAGGACAAAGTAGAGACATTAAGAAAAATCAAAATTTAAAATTCACCCATATCCTGCCACACTAAAAACAGCTGTTTTCATTTCTACACATTCCCTTCTGTTTTTGCCACGTGCGTAATTTTATAATGTTGTAATCATAGTGTAGAAACAACTTCATATTCTAATTTTTTCCCACCTAACATGATCCCATAAACATTTTCATAAGTAGCTTCCATATGTCTTTCTTGAGAATTACAAAGGCCAACAAAATTTTGGGTATTGCTGGGAAACATTTTAGAAACAAAAGCAGAAAATCCTACTTAGGTGCAAAGCTTGGTGCCGCTAAGCCTGGCATTGTGTTTATTGTAATCCTTGCAGACAATGGCTTCCTGTGGAGGTGACTTTCAGCTGGGGCCGGAAAGATGAGAGCTGACCATGCATCCTGTTTGAGGAGAGGACCATTCCAGGCAGAGGGAGCAGCAAGTGCAAAGGTCCTGAGGAAGTAACAGAGAAGTACAGAAAGAAGAGTTGCTGGAAAATTTATTTCAACTGATAGTTAAAATATATTTATTTTTGTCAAACTTTAGGAATACTGAGTGTAATGAATGTAAACTACAGATACACGAGGATTGTCTATCAAGGAAGAGAAGCCAGAATGGAATAATTTAGAACTTAGGGAATCTCAGGAGATGTATTGGTTCTTAAAGTTGTTGAGCATCAGACTATACACACACTCAGATGGAATTTGCTATGTTCATTCACCCCAGTCCCTTACTGAGAACTTGAGTTCAGCTCCTTAATTTTACAGAAAAGGCCCAAAGCCCAAAGAGGGTAAATAACTTCGTGCAAAATTATTCAGCTACTTTGTAGAGGGCTTTAACTAGAGGTTAATTAGCTTCCTCCCTTCCCTTCAGACTCTTTCTAAAAAACATGACTCCGGATACACGACTGTGCGTTGACAAAGCCCTTTAATAGCTGGAAAATACCTCCCATCTGAGTCACCAGTTTATCATTTGTATAGGGTTATTTACTCAAAAGCAGGAAAATTATCGAGAAAACCATTTGGCCCCGACCCCAGAATTGTGAGTCCGGGAGCTGGTCCACGCTTCCTCCCAGAACCAGCAGAGGGGGCACCAGGCAAGGTTTGTAAGCCGCGCCTTCCGCGCGTCCCCTCCCCTTCCCCGCCCAACCTCCCCTTAGCCACCGCTTCAACTGAAGTGGCCATTGACCTTTCAAGCTTTTGAACAGTGATGCAATAGAATAGTATTTCAAAGAAAAATTGTTATCAAAATTTTGCATCCGGTTTTCCCGTGAATGTTAATGATGTTTAAAAAGTAGGTCACATTTAAAGTAGGTCACACTGCGGAGGGCGGGCATGCGAGCAAGAAGATGTGTTCCCAACTAAGACCAGGCGGCATCCACCGGGTGGGAGGAGGCGAGAGTCCCCAGTAGGGAATAGGTGCCGAGAGCCTTCCGAATTCCAGATTCCGAGGCTTTAGTCCTATGGGGAATTGCGAAGACTAGCCTTTTTCAGACTGCAGGCAAGGAGGCCCGCCGCCCTGTACCTCCCGGACGCGAAGATAAGGGCAAACCTCTGCGGCCGGCGCAGGTGAGCGGGGCGGGCCAGAAAGAGGCGGTGGAGCGGAGCGGAGGAGGGAGGCCGGAGCCGGGCAGGGCTGGTGCTGGAGAAACCGAGGAGCGCCAGGGGGAGGGGACTGAGAGCGCCGGCGCCGCTTAAGGAGGCGCCGCTGTGCGCCCGCGCGTCATCTCCTAGGACCCCGACCGAGGGGACCGTCTCCGATCCGCTGCCTCTATCCCCCAGGCGTGGTTACGGAGGGTTGAGTAGGGAGCTTCCCCATCCCATCAGTATGTCTTAGAGCAGGAAGGGCCCATTTCCGAGAACCCCCAGTCTCCCCCCGTACCGCCCAACCTAATGTAAAACATGAAGGGTCGCGTTGAGAAGGTGCGGAGGGGATGGGAAAGACGAAAACCCCGCGGTGGGCCGAGGGCGAGGAGGTTGAGGACTCCGGCGCGAAGCAGGCATACGTGTGTTGCAGGCTGCAGCTTCCAAAACGGGGTCGGCGGTGGCTGGGGGCTTCACTCCAGGAATGGGATCAAACGGGGGCAGATTACCCGGCGCCCAGAGCCCCCTTTCCCGCACCCAAGCGCTCTGCGCCGGTCTCCCCCGAAGCCTGCAATTAGCGCGGGAGCCTCTTTAAAACCGCAGCGGGGGCTGCAGTCACGTGAGGCGGATTCCTGGAAAGTTCCTGGAAAGCGGCCTCCGCAGCAGCCGGCGGGGCGGGGCGGGGCGGGGCGCGCCGAGGGGGAGAGGGAGGCGGAGCTGGGGAGGTGCCTTGGGCTGGGAAGTCGCGCGCACACACTGCTCCAGGGACCAACGTTTAACTCTTGCAAGTCTTCCCGCCGCCGCCGCCGCCGTTGCGGCGGCTCGCGGGGTTTGGGTTTCCCTTGAAGCATGAACCTCCTCACCCGCAGCTACCGGCGCTGCGCGGGCCGCGAACAGTGTGCGCTGGTGCCCCAGACACCCAGCCTCAGGATTCCCTGCGCCCGCAGCGCGGGCACTGGTGGAGTACCGGCCGGGGCTGGCGGCAGGTACCGGTGGGGGTAGCCCCGAAGGCTCCGCCCCGAGTAGGGTCGCTGGGGAGGGCACATGGGGCGCGGCCGCGTGCACTGGGGAGTGGCAGGCGGCCTTTGCTTCCGCAGTTTACAGGCACCCGCGGAGAGAGTCCGAGCCGCGGACCTGCTCGGCGGCCGGGCGCTACCGCTTGTTTTCTCCAGTTCCTTCCAGGCGTCGGAAAGTCTCTGGAGTTTTTTTTCCCCTCCTAAACTGCCATCCAGATTAATAATCTTCTTCTTAACCTGATCTTCCCCTCCTCCCTACCGGCCTGCCTCCCGCCCTCGCTCCTTCCTCCCTCCCTTTCTGTTTCCCACCTCCTTGGTCACAGCCAGTGGAGAACCCCGCAGCTGCCCAGGCTGTGCGCGAGAGGGTGTCGGAGCCCGGGGGTCGAGGCGATGATTCCCGGGGCGTCTGTCTGCCTTCTACGCGGAGAACTCCGGCGGCTACCGCTGCGGTAGAGCGGAGGACGCGTCGCATCCCCGGGCATCGTGTTTCCAAATTAAACGTCAATAGGGGAAACTCAGGCAGACACCCCTCCTCTCCCGGGCGCCTCCCGGTTCCTCTGCCCCATGTCCACTGGGGAGGCGGCGGCGGCAGCAGAGGCCGAGGTGGCCGAGGTAAGGGCTCGGCGATGTCGTCTGCACGTCCCGCCGCGTTCGCTGCCACCTTCTCGGCCCCAGCTCGGAGTTCCCGCTCGGGCCGATTCCTCGACAGCGCCTGCAGCGGCCGGCCCAGCCCGGGAGCTGCCGCAGCGGCGCCTAGCGGCGCCCCCCACCCCTTCGCGAGCAAGCACCGGGAGGCGGGGGTGGGGGAGCGGGTGTGGGGCCGAGGCAGATCCGGGGCGTGGATGCGGCCGTTCGCGCGCCTCCGTGACCCAGGCTGGTGGCTTGGACCCCGGGAGCCTCGCTGCGCTTTAGGGCGAGGAACAAGGTTTGTGCCGGCTGCCTCCCTCCAGGGGCCCGCGGACTGCGCAGGCTGTGGATGGAGTTGCCAATATGGGGATCTCTCCTGTTATTTGCCTTTTTTTCCCTTACTTGCCCTTGACAACACCCTATTCCCACCAGACCTGCAGGTGACTCTTGCTCTTCCTAGCCTGATTTCAGCGTGCAGCAGCGGGCGGAAAGACACCCCATTCCCCACCCTCATCCTGTCTCCCCACGCCCCCCTTCCCCTGCCAACTCTGCATCTTGGATCCATGCTCTCTTTTTATCCTTTTTTCTCTAGAGCTGAACAAGGGCGGTAAGTGGATGCTTGGGGTTAAATGGTGCAGGAGCAGAGGAGTCCCCGAGATCTTCCACGTCTCTACTTCTCCTGCTCCCGCACCCCAGCCGCAGGGGTCCAATTTGGACTGACCCAATCCGCTACTTTCTCTTTACAGGCGAACTGTGGGTGACCGCGCCTGCGGGGGACTTTGCTGTCGGTCCCCTCAGACCTGGGGAGGAAGAACCGGCAGCTCCCTACCCCCTCCCCCTTCGTTGCCATTTCGGACACCCCGCAGGGACTCGTTTTGGGGTTCCCACTAACTTCAAGGAAGGACGCGTGCCCCGCTTTTGGCCCCAGCTCGGGCGGACACCTGCCTTTGCCGCGGTGACCCTTCCCCCATGACCCTGCGGTGCCTTGAGCCCTCCGGGAATGGCGCGGAAGGGACGCGGAGCCAGTGGGGTACTGTGGAGTCGGCGGAGGAACCGCCTCCGGAGGCAGCTCGTCTGGCGACGGCCCTGCGGGAGCTCAGTCAAACTGGTAGGGAAGGGACCCGCCGCGACGCGCGGGGGCTGCGGGACGGGGGCCTCCCCAGAGATGGGGTTGGGGGCTGCATTGGCGAGGAACGCAGCTGGAATGTGGGGTCGACTTGGGAAGCAAAGAATGGGCTGGACAACCGTCCCCTCGCTTTCCGTTCCCTCTCCAGAGCGGGGAACCGCGGAGAGGATGCCCGCACGGCCATGGGATCCTTGGGAATGCGAAAGGAAAGTGGTTCTCGTGGGATACAGAAGCCTAGGAGTGGGCAGAGCGCGAGAAGGACTCCTTGGAAATAACCTCATAGGGCCCTGGACCTTCACTGTTTTTCCGCGGCTGCTCAGTGGTCGGCACTCGGGCTCGAACCGTGGCCGAAAAAGTGCTGTGCGCCTCCCTTTTCCGCGGAAGGCAAGGGCGGCGAGTGGTCGCCGCGCTCACGGCCGCTCTAGCCGCATCCGGCTCCCTGGCTGAGCCGCCGCCGCAGTCCGGGATCTTGGCTGCCAAGTCCAGGGCCGTAAAGACTGCCGCGGCGGCTGGTCGGAGGAGCCGGGGCAGTGAAGTCGCGCCCAGCGAGGCCACCAGGGGCTGGCGAGCCAGGGTATTGCTTGTTTCAAGTGCAGTCCTGAGCTTTGCGCAGCTCGCTGTCGCCTCTTGGCATCTAAAAGAAGAAGAAGAAAAAAAATTTTTTTTTTTTTTTTTTTAAATTCTGGCACATTACGCAGGCTTTCAAAATCTGGATCCTAAAACCTTTCGTTTGGGGCAGAGTTGAAGTTTTGATAGCACTAGGGAGAGGGAAAAGTCCCCTCGCTTGCGGTTCCTGTCTTTCCTTGGGGTTTCGGGCTTTCCCTCAGCGGGAGGGACCCACAGATTGTACGTCTCCGAGCAGGTTTTTTGGAAAGGGAGGACACAAGGTTTAAACTTCTTAAATGCAGAATGACTGAGTCCTTTGTGAAAACGGGATAGGCTTGGGAAATAGTGGAGGCAGATCAAATATGGAATGCTGGGGCGACCCATGGTTGTGATTGAATTTGGATTAAAGCAAAGTCCAAAAGAGGGTAGTTCAGATTGTAAATCTGAAGTACTAATTATCATTTGGGCTTCCGTCATTTCTCGGTGACCGAACGGCAGTTGTAATCAAAAGCAGCAAACAAGTTATTGTACTAGAACTGTACTTTTTAAACAGGTAAATGGCAGTGTTTTCCAGGGCTTTGAACAATTAGAGCAGCCATTAACAGATTTTTTTGGGTCATGGGGTGGGGAGCACAAGCCACCCTAAAAGTTGCTTCTTTTACTCGACTGGGATTACTGGAGTTGGGTTTTCACTTTTTTTAAGGGCAAGGCTTTTATTTCGGACTCTTGATTTATTTCAAATCTATGTTAAATTTTTTGTTTCACTTAAATAATACATCATGGTTTGTCAGCCAGTGTGTCATATTGCAAATGTTCTTTTGTTTCCTTAGGAGAAACTGGTAAGATAGCTTAAACAGTTACAGAACGTTATTTTCTTGAAAACTGGCCTAGTTTGTGTTCATAAAATAAAATGGACCTAAAATGTCATTAAATTTCTACCAAAAATATGTGTGGCAGCCCCTGGTAAACTTTAACGCACAAACTTTTTTTTTAAGAGCTAGGAAAATTATTGCCAAGTACTTTTCCTATTCTAAAGATTTTTATAATAATTATTTTACCCTCTTTTTTTTTTTTCTCTTTTTGAATAAAAACCCCAGGATGGTACTGGGGAAATATGACTGTTAATGAAGCCAAAGAGAAATTAAAAGAGACACCAGAAGGAACTTTCTTGATTAGAGATAGTTCGCATTCAGACTACCTACTAACAATATCTGTTAAAACATCAGCTGGACCAACTAATCTACGAATCGAATACCAAGATGGGAAATTCAGATTGGACTCAATCATATGCGTCAAGTCCAAGCTTAAACAGTTTCACAGTGTGGTTCACCTGATCGACTACTATGTTCAGATGTGCAAGGATAAGGGGACGGGCTCTGAGGCCCCCCGGAACGGCACTGTTCACCTTTATCTGACCAAACCGCTCTACACGTCAGCACCATCTCTGCAGCATCTCTGTAGACTCACCATTAACAAATGTACTGGTACCATCTGGGGACTGCCTTTACCAACAAGACTAAAAGATTACTTGGAAGAATATAAATTCCAGGTATAAGTGTTTCTCTTTTTCGAAACATGCCTCATCTATAGTATCTCCAAATGCAGCTATGTAAAAGAGAACCAAAACTTGAGTGATGCTCTGGATAACTAACCACATGGAATTCTTTATAAGAACAGTTGAAGTCAATCTAATTTAAGTGTGTGAAGAGGTAGCTAGGTATTCAAAGTTCCCCCATGTATTTTTCACCTGAACGATACTTCCCTTCCTAAAGCTGACTGAGACCAGTTGATCCCTTTAAAGTAAAAAAGGGTTCCAAGGGAAGGCTGTAGGAGCCTTTTATCAGAATACCTTGCCTTTCTGTGGGACCTTTCCACTAGGTCAGAGTTCCTAGTGCTGGTAGTAGATTAAGAGATCCTCATCGGAGCTCTGAAGAAGTGGAAGGAACCAAGCTGACACAGGCTTCACTTCAATTTCATATGCCTGGTGATCAGAGCCTATTTTAGGACATTTTATATTTTGCATTCTGATGTACCTAGGAGTTTTGTTAAACAGATCATGCTTATATTTATCCCTCATTTTATGCAATTAACCAAATCAAAAAAAAAAAAAAAATTGACCATGAAATCCTGTATTTGTCTTCTTACTACGTGTATGAACTCTCTAATGTGAATGAGTACTGTAGTAATCCATGTAAAGGGAGCCTTATTTCAGAAATATTTCAAACTGGTGCAAACGGAAAAGACTTCCTCTTTTCCTTTACGGCTAAAGACATGAATGTCATGCTATACAGGTGCAACTCAATCCCTGTTAAGAACACCAATGCTGAAGTAGCTGTGTTCCAGCCCATTGCCACTGAGTTTTTGGAAATGGCTTTAGAAAATTTCCAAGTTGTCCTTGAATTGTCTAACTATGGACATCAGCAGTTGTCTCCCTTCTACCATGTAGAATACTTTGATTTAATTTTCTTCCAGATACAGGGGAATACCTGCCTGTTTTTCAAAGTGTCTATTTACTGGTGTTACTATTTGATTAGAATGTATTAAATAAATTAAAAAACAAAAATAAAAAAAAACCTATCTTCTACAAGCTACACTTACTGCTTTGAATTGTAGAGAACATACAATTTCATGGTAATAGAGGGTTGCCGTAAAAACTTATGTCACGTGAAATAAGCCAAATACTCAGCAAGGAATAGAATATTACTTGCCTGTCTCTAAAGTCATGGGTTATACCCACACTTTGCATTTCTGAAAGCATGGTTTAGAAACTACAAGAATTGCCAAGGAGCCTGGTCTTTTACAAGCTAAATAGGCATAACACTAATAATGCCCTTTGTGTTTCCAAAAATACGGTTTAGAAATTAGAAAGTTGATGATGTGGCCTAGTCTTTTACAAGTTTAATAGATATAACACAAAATAAAAATTAAAAGTTTTATGGCCATTTATTTTTTTCTCCACATTGTCTCATAGCTATTGCAAACATACCATCTTTTCTGGAGCCTAGGCATTATTTGTTTTGCCTTCTTTTATCTCCTACATAGCTATGTGCAGAAGGTGAACCCAGTATATCATGTATGTGCCCTGACGGAAGTAGAAAATGCTTATAAATTATAGCAACACCTAATCATTGCATATCTTATTTTCATGAAGCTCTTGAAAGACAGTTTTGTGCCTGGAAGGAAACAAAACCAAGTGCATCTAAACAGCAGAGAGAAACAAAAAATTGCTAGCTGTGCCTTAGGAATAGTTTATTTGTCACCTATTATTTAAAGAAGAGCTAGAGTGTTAGGTCTGATCTATGATGGGAAGACAGGTTTTCATTAGGATGCTTGCATTCTGTGCTTTCTGTACCCTGTTTTCTCCCCTGACAACAGTTGTTTGGTGTGGGATGTTTAACTTTTTTGGCAAAACTTCCACATGAGCACTGCCAAGGGGCTTTGTGGAATTACCTAAAGGTCTTTTGCATTTCTAGTGTCCTTGTTTCAAACAGTCCAGATTTCTCAACTATTCAGAGTGGGAGGCACTAACGAGGTGTTTTACCTGTGGAGTTGTGAAGTTCTGCATTAGTGCTTTGTTGTTGTTGTAGTTGGCTGTCAAGTCGATTATGACTTATGGCTACTCCATGTGTGCCGAGTAGAACTGCTCCACAGAGTTTTCAAGGCTGTGACCTTTCAGAAGCAGATTGTCAGGCCTGTCTTTCCAAGACGACTCTGGGTGGGTTTGAATTGCCAACCTTTTAGCTAGTGTTTGAGCACTTAACCATTTTTGCCACCCAGGGATTCCTTGCATTTTTGTTAGCTAGCAAGTGACTAGTTATGAGAAAGCTAGAGGACAGCAGAGACATCTCTAAAGTGGGCTGTGGAACTGTGTATTGCCTTACTTGTCAATCTTCCTATTCCAAGTAAGTCAATAAACTTCAGGAGACAGTCTTTTTTTTTTTTTTTTTTACAGTTACTGTCATCATTTATTTATTAACTTTATTGTGTGTACCAGATTCTTGCTCAGCACTTTACATGCATTATCTTATTTAATCTTCACAACAAGCAGTGCTACAAAGCATACCCATCACAGAAGGTATGCCTTTTGATTTGTAAGTGAAGAGGCATTCCAGGAATATCCTAGTCCTTATTCCTAGAGAAGAATTACAAAGATGGAATTGCTGCTGAGCATTTCTACATTGATACAGATGAACAGGTTAAAACCAAAAAAACTAAACCCATAGCCATCGAGTTGAGCAAACCTTTAGAAGGGAGTAGAACTGCCCCACAGGGTTTCCAAGGCTGTAAATCCTCAGGAAGCAAACTACCACATCTTTCTCCCACAGAACAGAGTAGTTGTTGGGTTCCAACCACTGACCTTTTAGTTAGCAGCCGAGTACTTTCACCACCGGGCCATCAGGGCTCCTTTGATGAGTAGCTTAGATCAGGCTGTAAAGGGAACTCTCAGTCTTTTTTTACTGCAGCCTCATTCGGGAAAATATCCACACCTTAGTTAGCATTGTGCCTTGCAAGATGCAAGTCAGCTTGGCCCAGTGATTTTTTCCTGAATACGCCCAAAAGGGGAGTTCACCCTGTATGTTTGGGGGTAGGGGGTTGACTCTTACTTGGTAGCTAGTGATGCCAGTTCCCAATTATTGGTGGCCTCATTTTTACACAAAAGATGTATACTTGTCTAATTTATCCTCAGTAGAGCCAGGAAAAATACCCAGTGCTGTCTGTGCAGGGCAGTTTGAGGCATTACTGAGGGTTTTTATTAATGTTATTATTGTTGAAGAATATAGTTTACAGAACATCTATATTCTCAAGGACTTCAAATATTTTGAGCTCAGTTTCTACCCTGAGCAGAGATGAGGCAGTGGGGTTTTTCATTACTGTCACAGTGGGCACTGGCTGCTGCTTTTTAGGGATTTGGGGGACTTTTTAGGGCTTTGGACAGTGGAGAAAAGACAATTTAGCATTATGAGTTGAGAGTTCTCTCGTGGTGTTTCAGGAAGAAAGTCTTCACAGTAATTATGTAATCCAAATAGGTAACAGAATGGGACAGTTGTTTTGGGAGTGTTTATTTTCTTGGGAAGGATTTTCTCTGCTTTTAGAAAATTGTGCCCTCGTAGGAGGGTAGGAGACAGAGACGTCATCAAATAATCCAAGGGATGGAATGTCTTGAGACACAGGCCGTGCCCTTCTGGGTTGTGGGTTTAGGCAGGGCAGATGGGGGCTGTTGGGGAAAAGTTATTAGTAATGAAATCTACTCCCAACCCAGAAATCCTCTCCACAAAAAAAAAAGAAAGTTTTATTATTGAATAAGCATTAGCAGAATGTGATACATCACAGGCAATCCACTAAAGAGATTGCAAAGACAGAAAGAAATCTTAACCATTATGTAGGTAAGGAGGTACAATCATTACATTCATATTTTAAAGATAATTGTTAATTTTTCTAATCTTTCTGGCCTCAGAGATAGGGCTGGGCCACCAGAGTTTATGCTAATCTCTGTCCATGAAAAAACAGGAAGGTGTAGGAGAATTACCTGAAGTTATATTTACATACTTTTTAGAAAGACAATTTACAATTACAAGTTATCTGAAGTAAAATGAGGAGAAAGCAGTGGAGGAGGGGAACTCCTCCTATTTTCACCTGGGGAATTTACTATCCGTTTATTTTCCATTTGTAGTTGTCCTCAGAGGGCTGAGCAGCCGTTGTTCCAATGCTGACAGCTGGGCAGAGCCCACTCTGATCGGAGTGGTCATTCCTACCATTCGGAGCAAAAAAGTGCTGTCATTCATCTAAGGCCTTTCATTTACTAAGAGGCCTGTATTCTCCTTTCCCAGTTTTTAACTTACTAGGATTTTAAAGCTTGAAACCACTTTCCGGATCACATATTTTAGCTCCCTTATTTTATTGAAGAAGAATTTGAAACCCGGAGAGGTTATGAGAGTTGGGGGGAAAACAATTACCCAGCAAATTAATGGCAGAGTCAGTATTTGAACACAGATACCTTGATCTCCTGTTAAGTATTTGCAAAAGCTGCACCCTTCTACTCTTTGTGTAGACTCGTCTTCGCTATCCTGTAAGCCCTACAGTTATTTGAACATCACATTTTTCTTCCTCTAAAATTTAGAAAGAAGGGCTTTGGAATACCACGTGGGATAGTTCTAGTTCTTGGCTTCCTCTACCCTACTCTCAAGATTCAGCTTCTGCTGGGTTTCACAATGTCTTGATCTACATTATAGTTTTGCATTAATTTTAACTCCTCAACGTTTCTATTCTATTTGCTGTTTTAAAATCCAAAACCTCCCATGCATGCTGTTTTGTGATCTCATTTCTGCCTCTGCCAGCTCTGACTCACACAGTCATCGATGCCTGGGGGACTGCCTTTCCTCTTGTCCTCACTAGGATAGCCCATTCTTTCTTTCGCCCATTCAAGGGTATAATGGCATCATTAGTTCCTACCTTATTTTCTCCCTTTTTGTATCATAAAATTGTCCTTGCAGCTCATCGGACACAGCCCTGTTGGCAGTATTCTACTCCAGTGAAAGAGGGTGATTATATTCTCCTTGAGTTGGGTAACTCAGTGATTTCGAATACTTTTAAGATTAAATCTGTCTCTTTGTCTCTCCCTTTGATTCATGTCAGGTTTTGAAACAAGTGACCAGCCCCAAATACAGCATTTTTGTTAGATACATTTTTTTTTTTAAGTTATCAGCGGTCCCATTTTCACTATTGAGTTGCATTTCATTTGAACAGAATGAAAATACAGCTTATTCCCGTGCCTCTCCTGCCCATCTGTACGTAAAAACGATTCCGTGACAGTTTTATTTCTCCCCTCCTACATAGACATAGTTTTTCTTGTATTCTCATCTTCACATATTTTTGATTTTTCTATTTTTCCTCTATGTGGCTTGAGTTCAGGTTACTTAACTTTATTACTAAAGTAAAGTAACAGCTGTTGCTAGAGTTGCCGCTAAAGGTCCTGGAGTCCCAAATGCCTAGATAGTAAGCTGCAGTCACAGAAGCAAAGCTGGCTATTCCTTCCTTCCCCTGCCCACGCTTGGTCAATAAGGACAGTTGCATCAGCCCACTAGTGTCACACAGAATGGGGCTAACTTCAGTTCAATAAACATTTA